GGGGGGCACACAACATCAATAAGGGTGCCTGATCTCAAACCAGGCAAAGTGGGGACCAAAGAAGGCCCAAACTTTACCTGTACGATGTCTACTTGTATACCGAATCCTGAATTGTACCTCACATCTTTAAAATAAAATATATATTTAAAAAAAGAAAAAAATGTGTCTCCATAGGAGTATTGCATCAAACAGAGAAGGTGAAATAAAAATAAATACAAAATTTTTTATAAATAAACTCCAGGTTTTTGGGGGTCCCCCTCAAATACACACACATACATATATTTATAATCACAAAGATGTGCTGAGATAGTTACTTCTAACATTCCCATCTTACCAGATTAAGGGAAGCACAGAGAGGACAAGTACTTGGCCAAAGTCCACAGGTCATGAGCAACAGATTAAGGATCGAAGCCAAGAGACTGAGCTCTATCTTAACCACCACTTTTGTGATTCTTCACCCTGGCTGTGTTGTGAAATCATCCGGAAAGCTTTTTAAAAACACCGATGTCCAAGCCCTACCCCAGACCAACTGAAACTGATTATCTGGGAGAGAGGCGCTGGATGTGTAGATTGTATAAGCCCCTGGGCGGCCCTTATGCTCAGTGAGGCTGGATAATCGTGCCCTGCTAGAAGTGTGCAAGACGTTTGAGCAGAGGGAGGGGCTCCCGGGAAATAACATGTACAATAACATGTGCTCACGTGACTGTCTCCCCGCCTGACAGAACTCCTAGGGGTGGCAGGAAGGATGTCTTTTGTTGGGAAGTAAGAGTTTGGACATGGGGAACAAGGATGTGTTAGTAACGGAGGAGGGAGAGGAAAAGGGTAGAGCAAGTTGAAATAAACAGAAATTGATCTCCCACACTGCCATGTCCCAGTAGCGTCAGCGCCCGAACCTGGCTATGCCCCCAATCTGGTTCATGAGCTTGGGAAAAATAGGGTCCCTGTATTCGCAGTTTGCATGAATCACATCCGAAGGGGAAGAACTGGAATCACCATTCCCAGTACGCTGCCCAGGGTAATTCCGTGCAAATGCTCTGCGGGCCAGCGTTTGGCAGTAGGTCTCTATCCTGCCTACCCCCTGAAATCACTTGAGAGCTTTGAAACACCCACTCCCGGAGGCTCTGGTGGAATTGTCCCGACTCCCAGTGTGTCCTGCCGCCCTCTACATGCCCACATCTTTGATGCCAGACTTAGACACCATGGACTCCCCCAGGGACTGGCTGCCTTTGCCTTCCTCAGACCCAGGTTCAGTGGGTTGAATGGTCACTGAGAGCACACCCCTTAAGAGGTGCTAAAAGCCTAAAGGCAAGAAGACGCATGGTCTCAACAGGGACAACTTCCGGAGAAACAACCTGCGAGCTGGCCACCAGCCTTGCCCCGCTCACCCACTCCTCTCCACCCAACTCCTCGATCAAAAGTAAATTCTTACCTCATGATACAAACCCTCAGAGCGAGCCTTGTCTATTTTTTCCAGGGTATCCTTGGAGAACTGTATCGTCTCCTTCACCACTTCTTGAGAGGGCTGAGAAAGAGAAAGACACTGAGTTGGGGACCCCTTCATGAGGCAACCCATCTACCATCTTTGGCATCCAATGATGAATACCTTCCTCATCTGAGAGCCTCTTTCTGCCATTGCTACCCAGAATCCCTGTGGTTTTTTCCAGCTCCCTCATCATGCTTCTGACTCATATGGTGTTTGCTATTAACCAGGTCCCCAGGTTTTGCTGCCAGCCAGTCACCCCCCGCCAGTGTCTATTCCTGGGCCTGAGTTCCGATGAGGAGACCCTGGCACTGGTCCCTGTAGGCCATGTGCCATTCTTCCTGTTTGCTTCAGGTCAATGACGTATTCCACACAGGTGTACCTTGGCACCTTCGTCCTCATCCAGGTCACTGATTTAAATACGAGCCAGCACGGGGCTAAAGGCAGACCCTGAGGACTTGAACTGGAAATCATCCCCCAGTTGGCCTCTGAAGTTCATGCACTGGGCATATTACTGCATTTGCCTAAGCAGCCTCCTTGATCCTTGGTAATCTTGTCCAAAAAAAAAAATCACACACATACACAGCAAGGTTTTCATACTTGAGGAAAGGAAGTACCATCATTAAGACGCCAGTTCCCACAAGGACTCTATAAGTTTTGAAGAAAAAGTGCTACATTTCTCAAAGACCAAAGGACAGGTCTACATGCTATGCTTATTCCTAACAGAAGCTCTTTTATGAAACTTTTTTTGCTTAAGCAAATCTTATATAACTTTTTTCCAAAATGAAAATAACTAGGCCGGGCTCAGTGGCTCAGCCTGTAATCCCCAGCACTTTGGGAGGCCGAGGTCAGTGGATTGCCTGAACCCGCAAATTTGAGACAAGCCAGGGCAACTTGGCAAGACCTCGTCTCTATAATTAAAAAAAAAAAAAAAATTAGCCGGGTGTGATAGCATGCACCTGCAGTTCCAGCTACTTGGGAGGCTGAGGCGGAAGGATCGCCTGAGCCCAGCAGGTTGAGGCTGCGGTGGCCGTGAGCGTGCCACTGCACTCCAGCCTGGGTGACAGAGACTCAAAAAAAAAAACCCTCTATCATCATTTTAATAGATGTAAAATTTTCCACCACATAAAGCTAGAATAATTTATTTAACCAGTTCTCTGGTTGTTCCATTTTTTTTTCACTCTAAAGAATTAGACTCAGAAAAAAGAAAACAGAATTGGGTTCAACAGTTCTCTTTGGGTTTGCTGCTTACATCGCTTTGTAAGGCCATCCTCTATAAAGTACAAAAAGTAACAAGACAGTGGGCATTTGCTCTGATGAAAATACATCCCCCTAGACGGAAATCCTCTTGGTCAGTCTCCCAGTTGTCCTGGGCCCATTCTGCAGCGGGTGTCCACTTTGCAGTACAAGAGGCCTCTGGCCAGGACAGGGTCAGACCTCCCAAGGAAGGAGGTCTTATAATTGTTCTCTGCCCGCCTCACCCTCTTTGTCTTCTGCACAGTCCTTGACTCTCCTTCCAATGTTGGCAACCCGTGTTTCCACATCTTTCTGTGTCTGGGCCTCCCTGGAATTCTTCTATGTGTCCACCTTGTACTTGTTCCACGGCCTGACCCCAACAGCGGATGCACCTGTCAGTGCTCTGACTTCTGCTTGCAGGTCTCACTCCTGGCTTCACCTTTGATCGGGCTGAGATTTCTAGCTTCTGACTGCCTTCCTGCCTGCTACCTTACTGCTGCCTCCTGGTCCCAGAATGCCGTTTGGCCTTCTGTTAACTCCAATCATGTCCTTGTTCCAGACAAGTCGTTTCAGGGTGTGTCTGCCTTCTTAAGACATTTGAATCAAGCACATTAGGAAGACAGGGATCTATGTCCTATCCAGTCATACAGAGTTCTGGAACTGGTGGACACCAGAGATGTACCATCAACCTGTCAAAAACTACATTTTTAGTTTCATCCGTAGATTGTTGCCCAAGTAATGACTCATAAAACCACATCTAGTTTATAGCTTACAGTTGTCTCTAATCTACTGCAAGTTCCATGATTTTTTTTTTGAGTTGGAGTCTCTCATTCCATCACCCAGACTGGAGTGCAGTGGCATGCTCATGGCCACCGCAGCCTCCACCTACTGGGCTCACGCGACCCTTCTGCTTCGGCCTTCCAAGTAGCTGGAACTACAGGCACAAGCCACCACACCCGGCTAATTTTTTGATTTATTGTAGAGATGAGGTCTCACCAAGTTGCCCAGGCTGGTCTTGAACCCCTGGACTCAGGCAATCCTCTCACCTCGGCTTCCCAAAGTGCTGGGATGACAGGTTTGAGCCACCGCGCCCAGCCCAGTTCCATAATTTTTAAAACTCAAAATTCCTAGTGAATCTTCTGGAGTAAGCGGTAGCTTACAGAGTGGATTTGGAGAATGCCAAGCGGTTAGCTGTGAAATAAAGTCTCACTCAATTCCATGATGTAAGGAGGCGTGTCACTCTGGAAGTGAGTCAGATTTTTTTTAAAGGAAGCAACTTCCAAGATTCCCAAAGCAACCAGGCAGAAAAGTTGTTAAGTAATGAGTGCAACACGTGATAAATCTATTCTGAGAAGGGAATAACTGAGAAGGGTTGTTCTACTTGGTTCGTATTTCAGAGAAAAGGCAGGAACCTTTGATTTGCAGACAGAACCACCCCCAATGAAAGGCTGCCCTCTCCGGGAGAATCAAAATAAATAGAAGACAAAAGAGGAAGAGGCAGGAAACCAGAGGAGGACGGGAAGGAACTGGGGTGGGAGAAACCCAGGGAATGGGGAGAAGCCAGAGGAGAAGGGGAGGAAACAGAAGAGAAGGGGAGGAGCCAGAGAAGGGGAGGATCCAGAAGAAGAGGGGAGGGGTAAGAGAAACACTGGTTCCCCAACCTTGAACAATTAGCACATTCCTTGCCGGGTGCAAGGGATAGTCTCAGCACTTTGGAAGGCCGAGGTGAGAGGATTGCCTGAGTCCTCGGGTTCGAGACCAGCCTGGGCAACTCGGTGAGACCTTGTCTCTACAATAAATCATAACAATTAGCCAGGCATGGTGGTGCATGCCTGTAGTTCCAGCTACTTGAAAGGCTGAGGCTGAAGGATCACCTAAGCCCAACAGGTTGAGGATGCAGTGGCCGTGAGCGTGCCACTGCACTCCGCCTGGGCAACAGAGTAAGACTCTGACTCAAAAAAAAAAAATTTTTTTTTAATTAAAAATAATAAGTTAGACCAACTTCCCAGCTTGTGATGAGGATCACTGAGGCCCAAAAGGAAGAGACTTGCCCAAGTGCAGACATGTAGGGTCACAGCCAGAACAACGAAGCCTCTTTATTCGTCTTGCATCATTCTTTCCACTACATTAAAGTGGACTTTTTTTTTTTTTTGAGTTGAGGTCTCACTCTGTCACCCAG